GCCTATACGATATGCAGTGCAACCAGCATTCATCAAACTTTAGAAATGAGACTTTACGCTTACTTTAGCAACTTGCTTGAACGCAAATGGCTGCAGAAATTGGACAAATTGTTATGCGAAGAAGTAGACTGATTCGTGCTTCTATGAAAAAGTTACCATCTGCACAATCAGTGGCGGTTGGGCGAATGTGGCAGAAAAACATTACCTGGCGTGCTTCAAAATCTGTCACCACCTTAGTCCAGATTCAGAGCACCTTTCAGCTCAAAAATTGGGCTCAGCAGTCTAAAGAGTTCTCAAACTCAATGAAAGCTCTGGTTTTACAAACGCGAGCGCTGGTCCAAATGTTGAAGAGCTTCACTGGAATTATTAAGGTGCTACAGCTGCGGAAAAGTTTGCGCGATTACAAATCAAGGAACGTTCGATTTGTCAGGGGGATCGTCAGTGGTGAATATTGCGCGAGCTTTTTCGCAGCGTAACGCTTCCAATGAAGCTCTGCGAAATTTGGACCATATGAATGGGAAAAGTTCGTCTACGGTAGTTTAGCGTATAACTCCTCACAGGGCAACTTGGAAAATTCCACATTTTCTGTTACACGAGTGCGATCCTGAGTAACCCTTCGCGATAATTGCTTGACTCTCCCTACATCGAGAACTACGATAAATACAAAACGGAGCTCTTGTCGAGGCTGAAACTCGTTCGCGAATACATTGCAAAGAATGCATGGGACTTGAGAGGATTTGAAGAAATATATGAACGGAATCTAGAGGCAGCGATCCGAAAAGCGAAATTTTGTTACTGAATTAGGTTCATATGGAGCTGCCGGCTGAAAAAGGAAAGCCTGAGCATCCCGAGCTGGTAACGCAGGGCAGGTCTGTTTGGTGGATCGAAGCTAGCGATAACTCTGCTTTGATCAGTCAGATTGGCGAAAATCAGGAATTCCGACGGCTACAGTTCGAATTTGGTCAAAATCTGAGTGGAAATCATGATTGTGGTAGGGGTAACTGGCGTAGGAAACGGGGAGACCCAAGAAAAGCGACTTTCGATGTGCACGTGATAAAAGTTAGTAAAAAACGGGGAACAGCATGTACTAACCAAACCTCTGAATGCATGACATGTAACATGGAAATGTTCAAGAAAATCAAGCCACGGAAGCATTGTTTTGGATTGTTCGATAGAAGTAAGAGTACAAGACGCCATTCCGAACTCGCTGCTCAGCTGCATCCATAGGAACGCCGTACAAACTCACTTAAAACATTTCTGTGATAACGCAATCTCATATTGCTGAAATTGGCGTGCTATCCGTTTCCTGGATTTCTCATACGATATTCTCATTTTCCTTCTTTAGGAGTTTCATTGTCTTATTTAAGTCACTGCCTCCACTGACCTTAGGCTCAATAGTTGACGCCAAAAAGTTTAGGATTGCCCTACTCGAACACTGGATACCCCTACACTTTCCCTTGCCTGCGGAAAAGCCGTTAAATTTTCGAACTGCAACCCTTGGACGAAGTCGTTTGCGCCAGCTCAAATCATAAAAATTATGTTTTTGCTGCTTCAAGGTTGATAAACTTTTAAGATGCTTTACAGCCCATTTTGTAGCAGTACACGTTACGCTTTCCAGATAAGGTAGAAGCGGAACGGTTTGCGGAGAAACTGTCGGCCATCAGGCTATTTTCATCTGTGTCAAACTTGGTCATCTTGCGCAGAAGAAGCTCGGACGCTTTTTGTGCAAGCAGTGGCCTAAGGTGCGGAGCTATTAGCACTCCCAAGTCCACAAGGTGACAAGGGTAGGAAGCCACTACTGATCTTCTTAGCGATGGAGATGACGAGTGTACACCGGCCGAGTTTGACCTCAAAAATGCGATGTCTGCTAGCGAAGCGCTCCGAAAGAGAAATGTTGGGAGCCGCCTACAAAACACGAGCCGATAAAATCAATCTTGAGGACACTTCACTCAAAGTGCGGCCAAATGATTCTGGAACGTCACAAACCTACTACAGCGCATTTGTAAACCGCATGATTTCAAGCGGATACGTACTGAGCGTGTGAACAGCGAGAAGCGCAGCATTCAGCCAGAGGGAGCTCAGGAGTAGCACCCATAATCGAAGCAAGAAAAGGGGATGAGCCATGGTCGCACCAATAGAATTCTCATCGACTTTAGATCTGCATCACAAAGCTGAACGACGCCAAAATCTCGTTTTCAAAGAAGAGAGCCTTTTAGAAACTCATGTAGGACGGCTAAACTAAACGCGCAATGGAAGCAGTTTATCGCAGGCGGCCCCCTTGTGATATTAGATAGAAAAACTTTGTTTAACTTTTC